ACACACACACACACACACACACACACACACACACACACACACACACAAATCACACATTTCGACGAATACGCCCTATAATGTATCCTGTGCCACCTACATCAGCCCGAAGTCAACGAACAGCTGAATACATAACGACAACGATAAAACACAATACATTAGTACACGTATTGTGTGTGCAGACGAGTTTCATAATAATAACTATTCGATCGTCGTTCACGCGGGTATTCCATTGTTCATCGACTCCTGAGGGCGTTGACGGGCATATTTGGACGGCATTTATAAGTTTGCACTAACTTTAGACGTGGTTGTAATGCATTACGGTCGAAAGCGAGTAGTACAAATCGCTGTTTTCGAAACCAATAACCACACACGGCAACGAGGAAAGCTTACTCACTTTTTTCGGCTTCTCTGGATCCTTCTGTTCCATACCGGAACGCTGCGGTGTGCACGTGTGTGGCACGGACGATGTTGGTCGAGACGCGTTCACGCCATGTCGCCGCGGTCACTTCCGCACGTATTCCGCGGGATCGGCGGACGAAAAACTTGGCGATCGATTTCCGCCCGGTTCTCAACGATAACGATGCATACTCGATAATCGTCGTACACGCGACGTCTTGTATCCGAATAACACGGCAAATAATAGCGCAAGTCACGTACCTCTATGTGTGAAGAACGTACAGCGCGCGGATACAGACGGACAGACGGAGAGCGAGAGAGAAAAGGGCATAAAACGAACGCGCGCGAAACAAGCGAATTACACCGTCGACGGGCGTATATCGCGCGCGCACACGGTATCCGGTGAAGAAGCGCCGTCACCGGTGATCGATCCTGGGAAACGATATCGCACGGTCTGCGGGCGTGCGGGTCAGAGGGTGGTGGGCGATACGCGATCTCTGCGGTTTTCTTTTATTATCGTTCTTGTTTTTTTTTTTTTTTTTTTTTTTTTTTTTTTTTTCCATATATCTTTCTGCTTTTTTTTTCACTTTTGTTCGTTTACGACCACCTTGTCGCGCCGCGGCGTCTGACGATTTCAGTCGCTCGTTTGCACGATACACGCGTTTCATCGTATGTACGCGCTCACATACGCACAGAAATACGTACATTACGTAGTGTATGTGTGTGTATGCGTGTGAGTTTGTAAAGCTTCTCGCGTAGGCTTTCAATGGAATTATATAATCATCTTGATAATTTTTTTTTTTTTATGAGCCAAGGATTTCATTATCCTTATTTTTATTCACTTGAAGGAATCAAAAAATCACCGCACTGATATTGTTATTAATATTTTTATTGCGTATACATAGAGATATATAAACGACATATTGCTGTAGAGCGATTTTTTTTCCAATAATCAAAAACGTTTCCACGATTTTCTTCATTGATGCGCCTCTTTAAAATCAATGTCAAATAATACTGTTCGTATTAGTTTGCACATGACTATTTATGCAACGTTGCCCGATGGAGTAGCGAAAAAAAGTTTATTTTTTATCTTCCATCCTGAAGCCGTATACATATAATGTATATAAATACGGGTACAACAATAGCCTACTAGTTAATAAACATAGATAATACTTAAATTAGCGTTTAATCATATGCACTGAAATTAATGATGAATAATGTTGTAGTATGGACGCGCGTTTAAGCTGCAAGCTATATATAGCTATAATATGGACGTAGTACTAAACTAGAATTTCGTCAGCTGCCAGCGATAATTTTTTAAGTTCAACCTGTAAAGTACAAAATGTTAGCGTTTAGTAGCAATGGAAATTATTGTTTATTATAAATATTTTATGTCCCATTGAGGGACATACGCATAATCACTGTATATATGAATGTTTCATCGTTGTTCATGACCCACGATTTACACCTTGCTTTTTGTTTGTATTTTTATTTATATAAAGTTTCCATAGCCCCCGATGTTAAAAAAACCAAACACTGTGACTAATAAAGCATCCTGTGTGTAGTTATAAATTCAT